GTTCTCTTCCTGCTCAGAAACTTTCAACTCCTTCCTAATACCTAGGGATACATTCTTAATTCCTTGACAGACACAATGCATCCTGCAAACAGGCCTCAAACATATTTTTTTTACTATGTTTCCTCTGCTAAGAAGATAGATCTATCTACTGTAGAAGGAGTAAAAAAATGACCATTTGTTGTCCATCCTGGATTCATGTCATTAAACAATAAACCAGAGCATGGTGAAGCTAGACAGGACCTTGGAGATCAGGTTCAACTCCTCCATTTTATAAATGAGGAGCTGAGGCCCAGGTGGTTTGAGTGAGTTGTGTAAAGTCATAAAGGCAAGAGACTTCCAGGGAAACTTCTGACCATTCCAAACTTCAGTAACTTCTCCTTCCTTTAAAAATTGCAAGTTACTTTCTGTTCCGATCTTAGGGCACTGCTTACATAGTGCATATAAGATTGCTGTCATTAGTATCCAAAGCAGGGGGAAAAATCTCAACCCATTCATGGCTATTTATTTTACATTTCTGGGTTTTCGACCATATGAAAACACTGATATGCTATTCTAGTTTATTTCTTCATAGCAGTAAGCAGTGCTATCTTCACAACAGGTGCTAAATATTTAACAAATGTTGCTTATTTAATAAGTGACAAGAATATCAACTATATTTCTTCATAAAAGAAAGTAATACCAATTTATTTTAAAATTTTATATAATTAAAACTTTTCAGCTGGGAGCAGCAGCTTGCACCTGTAATCCCAACTACTTGGGAAGCTGAGGTGGGAGGGCAGCTTGAGCCCAGGAGTTTGAGGCTGCCGTGAGCTATGTTTGCTTCCCTGCACTCCAGCCTGGGTGACAGAGTGAGACCCTGTCTCTTAAAAAAAGAAAAAAAAAAATTCCTGAGTCCTGAGTCTGCTTTCCTACAAATCGGACCACTGACACAGTTTGATTAGAAGTTTTATGACTGAGCTTATTCATTTTGTTTCCTGAAATTTTTCTATATAAGAAATAAATTTATACGCATACTTATATATATTTCTCTATATTCTGTTATTGGGTTTATTCAAAGAAGGTTAGGTGTGTTATCAAATACTTAAACTGAGTTAAAAGGATCATGCAACTTACCATTATTTATTAACTTAAAAGGAACCTCTCTCACTTCAGTGAATGTTTTCTAAATGCACATTTTAAATGGTGTAAAATAATATATAATTTGTATTAATATTATTTAATTAATTTAACATTTTTTAAATGCACATTTTAAATGGGGTAAAATAATATATAATTTGTATTAATGCAGTTTTGAACCTTAAAAAGTATTAGTGTTTTATTAATCTACTCACACAGGTTATCCAAAAACGATCTTTTGTTCCCCACCATGCTTGAATTATATTAACTAGCATAAGTACCTCCAAAAAAGAAGTACCAAAATGTTTATATTTCTGAAGCACTAACAACATGGCAAATACGTTTTATATATCTTAACTCATTTAATTAACAACATGGCAAATACATTTTATATATCTTAATGCATTTAATTCTCCCAGCGAGTCAAGAACTAAGCACTATGATGATCTCTTTTAAAAAAAAAATTTAAAAACTGGGGGATCAGAGAGGTTATGTAACTTGCTCAAGGTCATACAGCAAATGAGTGGTGGAACTGGGATTTGAGTGTAGGCCCGACCTGGTTTTAATCACATTGCTATAACAACACTTAGACTGTTTTTGTGCAAGATTTTCAAAACCGACAGAAGGGGAAGAATAAGAAAAATTCAAAACACCTGAGAATAGAAACTCTTAAAAATATAGATTAAAATAATTTGGAGGGTAAAAGCAAATGCAACACTTTTCCAAGGATACCTCTTTCAAAATTTGTAAAATGAGAATTTCCTCTGTACTGGAAAATTCATGTCCTTTTACTGGGCACTGGTAAATTTGAAAATTCCTCTTCTGCCTTTTGTAGAGCTGGGCGGACTGGACTCAGACACATTTATCAGCTGGTATCTGGTGACTTCATCATTTTGGTGGAATTTCAAAGAACATTAATTTAGTTACTTAAAAACATACTTCAAATTTTTTTTAAACAATGTAACCTTTCCTTTGCAACTGCTTTTAGAAAAAGGTCTAGAATTAGAAACAGCCAAATGACTTCACAGATACTATTTTAGTCTATTTGCAGTGTTCTCAACAGCTCCCACTCCCCAAAACAACCACACACATCACCAAAAAAATTCATCAATGACAATCTGTCACACTCCTCTCACAGCTTGGATAACACTATGTACTGTACTGTTACCGTTTCACACAGGGATAAGGGGACACCGGAGCATCCAAGCAAGAAGGAAACTGCGGGTGACTATAACATTTTCCTTTATATTTTGTGACGTTAGCAAATATGCAGTTGCAACTACCATCAGTTACACTACAATTAATGTTCATTTTTTTTCTCCTACAAGAAAAACAAAAACTTCACATGTACTCTTTTACTCTAATTAGGCTTTCACTTATTTTCAGTAAAAAAGAATACGGGGACATATCCTAAAGAAAGAGGTATCCAATAAACGTGCACCAGCGAGAGCGCAGAGGAATTCCGCGCCGGGTACCGGAAATAGGGCAGGATTAGCGGAGGTGGGGAATGCGCTTCCCAGGGAGGCGGAACGCAAAGGGGATGCCAGGTGGAGCCCGGGGAGCGGCCGCAGCGGGCGATGGCTCCTGCCGGCGCCGGCCGTTCTGGTTTGTGCATCAGCCGCTGCGGGTCACGCGCTCTTACCTCGCAGCCCGCGAACCAGCCTCACGGCCCAGGCCACTCGGGGCGGCTGCCCGTCCAGGGGTAGGTGGCGATGCAGCGGGTCTCCGCCGCCGGTCGGGCTGGGGCACGGCGGGCCCTGGTCCTCTCGCCGGTGCCGCCTCCCGCTTGGGTGGGCCGCGCCGTGGTAGCCCCCAAGTCCCCGGCTAAGCGCACCCGCGGAGCTCACGGCCGAGGAGGCGGCCGACCTCCGGCTGCCAGGGCGCCACTCCACGTCCATCTCCACCACCATTCCGCCTTCTTCCCCTTCCACCTCCTCCTCTTCCTCCTCCTCCTCGGCCTCGAAGCCCGGGTTATCGCGGCTCCACGCCTGCCGGGAGCACGACGACAGCGGGGGAGAAGGGGAAGCCGAGGCTCCGGCCGGGGGGTCCCGCGCGGCCGCCTGCCGGATGCGCTGCATCTCGATCTCCAGGCCCCGCTGCTCGCGGAGGCCGCCCCGGGCTGCGAGGCTGGCGCCCACGGCCGCGCCACCCGCCATCAGCCGGCCCGGGCCCGGCGCGCGGGGCGCGGGCGGCTGCTTGGCGTCCCCGGGCTGCTGCGGCTGCACGCGGCTGGAGTTCACCATCGCGGTCACTGGTGCCCAGCGCGCGGGTGCGCGGCGCCGCGCTCGGCGCTGTGCGCCTCAGGAGCCATGTTCCTTTCTTCCCGGGGCCCGCCGCCTCCTGCTCCCCGCCCCCGACCTCCCCGCGGTCCCGCGTCCCTCGCCCGCCCCCTCGGCGCGCCTCCCTCTGGCCTCGCCTCGCCTCGCCCAGCGGCTGCGGCGAGCTGAGGGGGGAGGCGCGAGGGAGCCGCCCACGCGGGCGACGCGCTTGCCTGGCTACTCCTAGGCCCGCGTTCCAAGTGGAGCCAGAGCCCGGGCGCTGGAGCCCACGTTTCATTAAGGGGAAGGCCCTGGAAGGGAGGGAGTCGCGAACTCGCCCGCCCGCCTGCAAGGAAAGGAGATAACTGGAGCTGCCGCTGCCTGCCTGACGCGGAGATAACTCTTGGGTCCCCGTTATTAGCCGCCAGTCGCTTCTGCCTCGATTTACCAAAGTTCAGGGAAAGAACCTTTTGGTGAGACGGTGTGAATTAGTGACATTCAACCTGAGCTGAAATTTCCAGCGGAGCAAAGAAATCTTTCAATTTGCAAACTACCAAGGCTGACTTGCTGTGCATTTGGCGGGCCTCCTGTCTCTGATTCTCTCGCGATCTCTGGTTGGCTTCTGTCTCCACACATTGTGGGGATCCCAGGGATTCGTCATAGGACTCTCGGATCGCTGGTGCCTCCACCGTGATCTCCGGTTCCCCCGCGGCCAGAACTGACATCTAGCAACAGAATCCTGCCCAAGGGTCTAGGCACAGAATTTTATTTCCACTCTTCTGAACACATCTAATGCGATGCTCTGCAATTGTCTGAAACTTACCCTCCCCTAAGCCAAATCTATTACCTTGTCCCCTCCTCTGGAACCTGCTTCACTTCCTGTATCCCCAGGTGAGGTTTGGGGCTTCGCCATCCTCCTCACTTCCCAGGCCACTATTCTTCATGGAAGGCTCGCCCTTTACCCTTCACCACCTACACCTCATCTTCTTGTTACTTCTGCCCCACAAATCTCTCTGATATCATCTCTGTTTCTCACTCCTGCTGGCGTTATCTTATGTCTTGCGTTATTCGACATTGGAACAGTTGATCTCTGTCAATTCCATCTTTATTCTCCACTTTGGTGTCCTCACTATTTCCAGGTTATACTCCAGAACCAAAGCTGCATATTTGTCACGTTGGTGGTTAGACACCTCTGTGGGCTCCTGGTAGCCTAAAGGATAAAATTTAATTTCTGTGGTTTGGTTTAGTAAATTCTCATAATCTTTTTCTGGATTTATTTGTTAGGGCTGCCATAACAAAGTACCAGAGACTGGATGGCTTAACGGAAATTTATTTTCTCACCCAGTCTCTGCAAAAAATACAAAAATTAGCCAGGCTTTGTGGCACATGCCTGTGGTCCCAGCTACGGGGCACGCTGAAGTGGGAGAATCGCTGGAGCCGGGGAGGCAGAGGATGCAGTGAGCCGAGATCCGTCCATTGCACTCCAGGTGACATAGTGAGACCCTGTCTGAAAGAGAGAGAGAGAGAGGAAGAAGAAGAAAAAGAAGGAAAGGAAAAGAAAGAAGGAAAGAGAAAGGAAAAAAGGAAAGGAAAAAGAAGAAAGAAGAAAAAGAGAAAGAAGAAAGAAAAAAGAAAAGAAAAAAGATTTCTTATGAGGCGTTGGCAGGGTTGGTTTCTTCTGAGGCCTCTCCTTGGCTTGCAGATTGTCCTGCTTCTTGTGTCCTCATGCAGTCTTCCCTCTGTATGCATCTGTGTCCCAATTGTCTATTCTCATAAATCATATTGGATTAGGATCTACCCTAATGACTTTTTTTGTGTGTGAGACATAGTTTCGCACTCCAGGCTGGAGTGCAGTGGCGCAATCTCGGCTCACTGCAGCTTCTGCCTTCTGGGTTCAAGTGATTCTCCAGTCTCAGCCTCCCAAGTAGCTGGGATTACAGGTGCCCTCTACCATGCCTGGCGAATTTTTTTGTATTTTTAGTAAGGATGGGGTTTCTCCATGTTGGGCAGGCTGGTCTCGAACCTCTGACCTCAGGCGATCCACCTGCCTTGACCTCCCAAAGTGTTTTAATTTCATTACTTCTTTAAAGACCCTGTCTCCAAGTATGGTCACATTCTAAGGTACAGGAAATTAGGATTTCTACACAATTTAGCCATAATAGCTCTTAATCTACTCCTCTAGCATGGTCTCTCATGCCATCCATCCACCTGTGCAGTATTATTCATTCATTCCTTATGCACTTATAACATGCTGCTAATATTTAGGTAGTTATGGCTACCTATCACCTGATCCTGCAGTTTATTAATTTAGATATTCATGCTCTTCTTTTAACTGTGAGCTTCTCAAAGGCAATGCTGGCGGGTCCGGCGCAGAGGCCTGGGTCGTGCTATTCATCAATTCATTCTGAAGACATTTCCTGTGCCCTGGGTTAAAAGCTGGGCATGTAGAGCAGAGTATGATCCAGCCCTGGCCCTCAAGAGGAGACAGACCAAAAACAAGAGATTACCAAGTGGAGTAAGTGTTATGGTGCCTGTCATCCAAGGGACCTCTAACGCTGAAGATGTTCTGAATAACACCACCGGCACTGCAGAGTCAAAGGATTCTTACAGTCACATGCCAGCAGAGGAGAGCTAGGCCTGGAAGGAGAATGCAGAAGCTGAGCCAAAGGGTCCTCTGGAGGATAGGTTTAGTACAGTGTTTTCAGATTGCCATCAGAAGATCTCCAACATCACTTGGAGCACTTTCTAAAAATATAGACACTGGGTCCGCATTCCAACCTTATCTACTCAAAATATTCCGGATTTCAGTTCTGAAATCCTGAATCTTCACAGAGGATTCTTGGGCATCCAAAGTTTGAGAAGCACCAATGTGTTCCAAATGGAAGAGATATCATAAATATTTCCCCCATATTTCTATGCTTCCCTGTTAGCACTAGTGAAGCAATCATCTGAAATCCCAGACTTAGAAGAAACTTCAGTGGTCTTTGAGTCAGACTTAGTCTATGGCTTGTGCCTGCAATCACTAATATATTGTAAGGACCCTGGAGCCAGACTGCCTGGATTCCAATTTTGCTCCCTACTTCCTAGCTCTGCGACCTTGGGCAAGTCACTTCATCTCCTTTGCCTGCAAAAATAGGAATAATGATAATGCCCACCTCACAGGGTTGTTGTGAGGATTAGGTGAATTAATATATGCGTTTTAGTCCATTTGGGTTGCTATAAAAACTACCATATACTGGGTGGCTTATAAACAACGAATCTTATTTCTTACAGTTTTGGAAGCTGGACGGTCCAAGATCATGCTGCCAGCAGATTTGGTGTCTGGTGAGGGTCTACTTTCTGGTTCATAGACTGCACCTCCTAGCTGTGTCTTATGGTGGAACGGTGCAAAAGCACTCCCTTGAGCTTCTTCTCTAGGGGCACTAATCCCATCTGTGAGGTCTCCACCCCCATAATCTAATCACCTCTCAGAGCCCCCACCTCCTTATACCATCCTCTTGAAGGTTCAGGATTTCAATGTATGAATTATGGGGGAACACACACACCCAGACCATAGCATGTGGAACACTGACACGTACATACTAATAGTGTTAGAACTATTCTTAGCTCTTGTATCTTAATTATGATAACCATTTTCATCTGTTATAATTGCTTTTGTGGATGTCTTTGTTCCAAACTAGACTGTGAGTTTCTGGAGGGCAGGAGCTCCGTGCCCATCCTAGAGGCTTCCATAACAAATACTTACTAAGCACCTACTATATGCCAAATACAACACTAGGAGAGACAGCAGTTCATGAAATAGGGGGAAAGCCCAGCTTTCATGGAGGAGCGCTTATACTTTACAGGGTTTGAGGGGATTCAGAAGAGAGATTGCTCAGGCTGGCATGGGTAGGGAAGGTAGTTAGGGCCAGGTCATGGAAGGGCTCGGATGCATGTTAAGGAGTACAGACTGTAGTTAATGATAACATAAATAGGCATTTTTTTTCTTTCTATGGTGTCAGTTACTATTTAAAATAAAATCTGAAATATTCTTCTTGAAACTACATCCTAACCCTTAAAAGAATTCAAATTGATTGGAAATGTGTCTGTACATTCACAGCTCAGAGTTAGTTATATTTGTGCTTAAACAAAATTTTCTTTACAAATTATCACAAAGAAATGTAATCATTAAAAAGTCACAGCATTTTTTTGTGTAATACAACTTAAATAGCATTTGGTCCATCACACCCTAAATCTTACATTTTGGGAGTATCAGTATTAATTTGAATCTTAATTTTCATAAACCCAACACCAGCCATCTAACATATTTCCTGTTCAAATACTTATTTATTCTTTCTGACTTACTAAGATTTCCTTTCGTGCTTTTATGTTAACTTGCTTCTCCCCTTTAGGGTGCCCAGCTTTTGCACAAGCAGGCCCGGAGGCTGAAAGTTTCTCTCCCTACCCACTGAATTCCTTCCTTTAATATCATCTGAAGACCTTCCTTCTCATAAGAAGTTTTCCATAATTAAAAAAGTGACATGCGCAAAGTTTTTTTCATCTCATTGCCACAATCCCGTTGTCACATTAAAAATTTCCGTAATCTGTAGGGTCTGGAAATACTGAGTGGGATAGATAATATGGCCTGGCTGCTGTTAGTTTTTTTTTTTTTTTTTTTTTTTTTTTTTGTTTTTGTTTTTCATTAGTGTGGTAGATCCTCGACATCCTGCCCAAATCCCATGTCAGTCTCAGTGCCACCGTGGACGCTTGAAGGAGCCATTTTAAAAGGCAACTTTAAACAGTTCAGTCTAATTTAATATTAGTGGTCTCCACACTTCTGACTCTTGTATTATTAGAATTGCCTGTTTGGCTTTTATTTTCCAGTGTGAACTGATGAAACAGACACGAGCTAAAGTATTCACTGGTTTTGTGGTCTCCAGCTTGAAAGGAAATCCAAAAGGAGTTTCTGGCATGTGTGGTGTTGCTTAGCAATTCACCCAAACAAACATGTTTCCTCCTCATTTCTTTCCCCAGTACTTATTTACTCAAGAACATTGTAAAATCAGTTTTTACCACTTGACATCTGAAATCATTAGAAGAAAAATCTGGTGTTGTGGGGCTTTATGAGAAGAACTGCTAACCACAGTAAGAGTTTGACCTTCCTTTGTTTCTCATTTTGCTGCTTTAATAACATAAAGCTAGGATTTGTGGCCTTCTTCATGACTAGATTTTGGTTTGGATTGGCCTGCATATGTTCCTGTCTTTGTGGGGGTTATCTTGGCACCATGGCTGGCTGGCACCATGATCTTGATGACCTAATCTCTTTATCTCAATTTCCTTATTTGGATAATGAGATTAAATACCAGTCTTATAAATCCCCTGCAGAATTTTTGTTGAGGACTAGTGAGGGAATATTAATAGGTTTATAAAACATTTATTGAGTGTCCACAACATGTCAGGCGCTGTGTTACATTCCAGAGTGACAAAGGTAAGACATGATTCCTACCTTCTAGGGGATCAAATCTTATATTTAGGCTGCGTGGAAACATCCTTAGATCATTCTCAACTTCTCTACCCATAAAAACTTGGGAATCTTTCTAGACTCAGACTTCAGTTCTTCCCGGAACCTTCCATAGACACAGTCCTGGCCCCCAGCCTGGCCCGCCCCTACCTTGTAAACCCTTATTCCAGCATTTGCCATCTTACACTATATGTTCACATAGACATCTTCCTGAGTGGCACATAAGCTCCTGGAGAGCCCGGACCCTGACTTAATCAATCATTTAGCAGCTCAGGAACCAGTCTGCTTTCTAGTGCAAGTTTTCTTGGGGACATGCGCCCATTTTCATCTCCTCTCCCCAGCCAGTCTTAGCCTATGTGTGTCTCAGGTGCGACTGACACCAGCACAAGCTCCCAAGTGGTGATTATGGAGCTCAAGCTTGGCCAATCACTATCATGTCTCCTCGGTGGCTGTGAATGGTGTTTCACAAGTATGGTATCCTGTTCTGTTAAAAAAAAATTAGGCCAGAATTTTTTTTTCAGTTGTTGGAAAAGAAAAGCTTTTCTTCTCACTAGATTTAGAGTTGTAAAGATGTGAGTTCAGACAAGCTGGCAGCCAAAATGTTGATGCTTAGGGGGCAAATGAAGCCAACAGTATATATACAAAAAATATTTATAATGTAGAGACTGGAAGAATACTAAAATTGAACTAATGTTTGGGTGGTCATGCTATTCAAGAACATTATGAGATATACTTTTATTATGTGCAATCTCCTAGTTTTGTCAGATGCATATGTGATGTTTATTATCTATATTTTTATCCAAATTCAAAAGAATATTGAACAATGTGGGGCCAAGAACGGAGTTCTTTCAAATACTGTGTGAGGCTCTTCTCTTCATCAACTCTAGTTTATTCACTAATACCCTCTGGGTATAGTTGTTTAAAAAAACACTTTAAATCCAATTGAACTTTCACTAGCCCAGATTTTTCCAAAGCTTTTCAGAATTTTTTTCAAGTACCTTTTGATGCCAATATGAATGAGGCTTCCAGCATTTCCAAATCTACCAGACTTTGCAGAGTACCTGTTTTATGTTCATCTCTCACAATCTTATATATGATTAGAATGCTAAAGAACTTGTTTTTGCCAGCAAGAAGCTTGTAACTAGCTTGCTATACATGGATAAAACA